CCCCGCCGCACAGACCCCCACCGACCCGCCATCTGGGCCTCCGCGGCCCCACCCTCGGACCCTCAGGAAGTGAGGCGTCCAGACAAGTGCAGCGCAGCTGCTCAGGCTGGGACCCTACCCCCCAGGACTGCAGCAACCCCCCTCAGGAGGCCCCCTACTCTCACGCGCACCCATCTCCCTCCTCACTGCAAGAAGCCCGTCCCGTCCGCAGGACCCTTCCCCCACAAGATGTCAACCCTTGCCTTTGCAAAGTGCGCCTCAGTCGCTGCAGAAACGCCCCGCCCCCAACCCTGCAGGTGTCTTCGGTTTCTGTGGAAACTTCAAGGACCAGTCACCCTAGGCAGGGATTTGCCCCTCACTGCAGCGACCCAAACCCTAAGCCTTCGTGTCACCGAAGGACACACACACACACACACACACACACACACACACGTCCTGTCCTTTCAGAGAGTGCGAGCTCTCCAGCCTACAGAGCCTTCTTAGGGTTGTACACTGTCCAGTCACAGCAGCCCACCACTGGAATACTCTCAGAAGACATCCCTGTTATGGGCAGGTCCCTGGTTATTGGCAGAATTTTCTTGCGGCTTAACAGTTGCAAAAGGAGTCCTGAAGTGGCACACACGTGAGTCAAAAGGTTGGTGGCTCAACCCACCCAGAGGCACCTTTGAAGACAGGCCAGGCAGTCTGCTTCCAAAGCCTCGAGAACTCTCTGGAGCTGGTCTACTGGGTGCACCTGGGGTCATCAGGGTGTGAGTAACTGGATGTCAACTAACAGAACATGTTGCAAAAGCAAGTCTGTAAAGCCCCCTCAGGGCCTCCCAAGGGAGGGTCTGAAGATCTGAGCAGGTGAGGGGCAAGTGACTGTGTCTAGGGGTCATCCATACACGCTTCTTTGCAAAGGCAACAATACACTCAGATGATGCGGAGAAAGCTTGGGCGGAGCTGCAGGTGGCTGGAGTGGTGGGGAGCAGTCACTGGGGAGTGAGCTCTCCAGCCGGGTCCTCCCTCCTGCACTGTCTCCTACACATTGGCTCCAGGAGGATCCTTGCCTCCTTGAGTACATGACCTCTCAACCCTAAGCCTTCCCCTTGCCCAACATTCTCCAACAGCGTGATGGAGATAAACTTGGCCTCTCCCAGGGAACTTCACAAGTAGAAATGCACAGGGCCATCTAGGAAGCACTTCAATCCAGTCACAGGAGTCCCTCATTGGGTCCCAGCCTTGTGCTTTCCACATAGTCAGATCCCTGGTCCCATCGACCTCTGTCCAAGCCCCCTTCTCTGAGCCTCGCCCCTCAGGCGTATTCTCCATGAGAGGACCCCTCTCACAGAACCCGAGGAGAAAGAGTGGATGGTGAGTGTGTGATGGGCTTTCCAAGGGACCGAGGCAGCCCTGGTCCTGACTTTGAGGGCCCAGCAGAGAACCAGGTAGCAGCTGCCTCTTTTGTGCTCTGTCCCTTCTGCAAATGAACCCAGAGCTACAAGTGGGGTCCTTGTCTTTGGTCCTAAGGAATCTGCATGTAAGACAGTCTTCCAGGAAGAGGGGGAACCAATGTAGAAAACTCATCTTTATGAGTATATTTCTCTGGAACCATTTCCCGGTGCAAAATGTGTTCGGCTGGGGTCTCTAGAGAAGCAGAACTAGTGACACTGTGTGTGAGATAGTTGATTGTGCCAACCTGGCTGATAAACACAGGTGGGATTAATTGAAGGGTGGAGGATAAATGGCTCGGTGAGCCTTGCCTTTTGAGTTTTCAAGTCTCTTGCTTTGTGATGGTCAGACCAGAGTGCAGCTCCCTTAGCAGTTCCCTGCTTCAGCTTGCAAGGCTGACTTCCTGCAAGACATCCCCAAGGAGAAGCCACATGGAGCTACCCCGATGCAGCCCTGGGTGCGGGAGCACCCGTGTGGAGCCCTCTGCCAGCGCTGAGATGCTTACACATTCACTGACTCTGCTTTCCTCTTGCAGTCAGCGTCATTGTGTGTGTTTTATGAGATGGAGGAGGACTTTGTGGATTGGTGTCGGACATATGGGTTAATGTTGGACTTGTGGGCTTGGGCAGCACTGGGTTGAGATGTTTTCTTGATGCTCACTTAACCTTTATATAAAACTCTCTCTTATACATGAGTTCCTGTGGATTTGTTTCTCTGAAGTACCCAGACTAACACAGTGTGTGTATCTGGAAAGAGATTCATAGTAAGAAAGGGCTCACACGGTTGTTGAAAGAGCTAAGTCCAGTCTAGGTCAAGGCAGCTTCTCCTGACCTGTGAAAGCTAAGGAGCAAGAAGCAGGATGAGGATGCAGAAACAGCAGGGGGCACGGGCTGGTGGATAGAGAGGTATTAAGAACCCCAAGTCACCGAATGAATCCCTATTGGTGGTGGTGGTCCACTAATGCCTATTGGGACCAGCAGATGATGAAATGGGATATTGAGGAATCAGAAACAAGATGCAGCTCTGGCAGAAGGCAAGAGAAACTCTGCTTGGCCTCTCTTCCTGACACAAAGGCCACACCCAAGGAGGCGTCATCAGGCTTCTACCTGATTGATAGGTTGAGTTCCACCACTACCCTTACCCAGGAGTGTCTACTGGACAGAACCCCTAACCATCCCACCAAGCTTTGCTGGAGAGCTGGACCCGCCCTGAGATCTGGTTGGGAAGGCTGTCCTAGCTGAGGCCAACCAAGGGAGTTCGGCTCACCCAGCAGGATAGGGCAGGCCAGGGCAAGCTCCTTGCTCCCTGAGCCATCTGCAAGCAACAAGAAGGGGCAC